GGAGATGGGTCTGAGGTTGTTCGGGTCATTGGGGTCCAGGGAGGGCTTTTTAAGTATGGGGGTGATGTGTGCATGTTTCAGAGGGGAGGGGAAAGTGCCTGAGGAGAGGGAGAGATTAAAGATGTGGGTGAGGGAGCGTAGGATGGAGGGGAAGGGAGGTCGTAGGAGTTGAGGGGATAGGGTCGAGGGGGCAGGTGGTGAGGTGGGCATCAGAGAGGATCTTGGAGACTTCCTCGATGGTGGTAAGGTCAAATGTGTGGAGTGTTGGGGGAGCTTCAGTATGAGGAATGTAGGGTGGGGTGGAAGTGGAGGTCAGAGCAGTGGTGGGGCTGTGGGAGAGGCGTGATGAGGGGGTAGCTGAGGGAGGGGGAACGGGGGGTGGAGGGAGTTTGAGCAGCGACGAAGTCCCTGCGAGTTTTGTCGAGGGGGAGGAGGGATGAGGGGGTAGCTGTGTGAGAGGGGACGGGTTGAGAGGGCGTGTGAGTTGCGGCGATGTCCTTGCGAATTGTGTCAATCTCAAGGGCGGTGAGGTGCTGGGTGGAGGTGGGGGTGGAGAGAGTAGAGAGTTGAAGGTGGAGAAGAGTCGGTGAGGATTGGAGGAGAGGGTCTTGATGAGGGTCAGGAAGTAGGCTTGTTTGGCTGCGTGGAGGGAGGAGGTGTAGGTGCGGAAGGCAGATTTGTAGCGGGTGAAGGCTTGTTGGGATTTTGTTTTGCGCCATAGTTGCTCCAGGGCACGACTGTGTCGTTTGAGGGTTTTAGTGTGATCAGTCTGCCAGGGCTGGAGCGGTCGGGGTCTGATTTTGCGTGTGGTTAAAGGCGCTAGTGAGTCAAGGGCTGTTGACAGAGCGTTTTTGTAGGCAGTCATGGCCAAGTCGGGGCAGGACAGGGGGAGGATGCGGTCATGGAGTTGATCAGCTGCAGAGTAGAGGGGGGCAGGGTTAAGGTTGCGGAGGTTACGGCTCGTAGTAGTGTGACATTTGGAGGGGTAGGCGTTGGAGGACGAGGAGATAGAGAAGGTAATCAGGTTGTAGTCAGACAGAGGGAAGGGGGTGTTAGTGAGAAGCACAGTAGTTGGAGAAGACCAGATCAAGGATATTACCGTTGGAGTGGGTGGTGGATTGTATGCACTGTGCAAGTGCAAAGGAGGAGGTTAAGTGGAGGAGATGGGATGTGTCCGGGTTGTCGAGGTTGAAAGGGATGTTGAAATCCCCAAGGATGATGGTGGGTAGCTCAGAGGAGAGGAAGAAGGGTAGCCAGGAGGAAAAGTCATCCAGGAAGCAGGGTATGGATCCAGGAGGCCGGTATATCACAGCAATCTTCAGGGGGGTTGGGGAGAATAGTCTGATGCAGTGGGCCTTGAAGGAGGAGGAGGATAGGGAGGGGGTTTGGGAGGACTCAGAAGGTGCTCTGCGGTGACAGGAGCAGACCAACCCCACCACCTTTACGACCGTCAGGTCTGGGTGAGTGGGTCCAGGTGAGACCTCCATAGGAGAGTGCAGCATGGGAGGTAGAGTCAGTGGGCTGGATCCAGGTTTCCGTGATCGCTAGGAGGTTGAGGGAGCGGGAAACAAAGGTCGTGGATGGCGGTAAGCTTGTTGCACACCGATCAGGCATTCAGGAGTGCACATGAAAACGAGGGGGGAGATTTTAGGGAGCAGGGGGACAGATACTAAGTTGCGGCAGGACGTGGAGGCAGGAGGGTGTTGTGCGGGTGAGGGAGGTGGAGGGCCAGGATTCGGGGAGATGTCCCCCGCAGCTAGAAGGATGAGAAAGGTGGCATGGGAGCGGGATGTGCAGGAGCGTTTGAAACTACTAGTGGAGGTGTTCGGGTCAGTGGTAGAGTGGAGTATTAGGAGGAGGTGGTAGGTGCCGTAGAGGGATGAAGGAAGCAGTGAGGACACAATATACAATAGTTTGAAAGGAGCAGAGGGATATAGTGAATGGATTTTGGGAACGGAGGAGAGGAAAATGAAGGGGAGTGGAAGAGGCATTTTGGGGAGGTGAAGAGAGCAATAGTAGGGAGATGATAGCAATGAGGGGGGAGATGTACAGGTTTTGGGGTGGAGCAGAGGGGTAAAGAAATGAGATTTGGGAACAGAGGATAGTAATATGAAGAGGAGAAGAGGGGGTGTATTATATAAAAAGGTACACGGAGTGGGACTCAGGCATGTAAGAGATGTTTCCCAGGGTGTTTGCTTGCAGTCTGTCCAGATGCAATGCTTTGAAGCAGATTGGCTTATATAGATCTGTTTTCCTACAGCTAGTGCACTGATCCTGGAAAGAACCATTAAGAAGCCAGGCTGAAGCTGATAGACCACATGTGCAGATATCTGCATAAGACTAGTAAAAAAAAAAACCTGAAGCATTGCTCAATGGGTGGGGTTATGCCTAGGCAGGGACTTTGTCAGTGTCCACTAACTGAAAGCCAGCAACATAACCTTATATTTATGGATATGAAGATGCAGTGTCCCATGAATTACAATAAAGGCTGCTTTATCAGCAACTTTTTTTGCCTGGTAGTAATGCTGCTCCTATAAAATACAATGAACAACTTATCTGGAACAAGTGATTGATTGTCATGGCTGTGACGTTTCAACTAATCTTAGAAAGTATTTTACCAAAAGGGCGCTTGATGCTTGGAATAGGCTAGCAGCAAGGATTGAATCAGACAACAGTAATGTCGATTCAAACATGCTTGGGACAGACCGATTTACAATAAAAAATATATATATATATTTTTGTCAGCATAAAAAAAAGGGGCAGACTCAATGACCATTTGGTATTTTTTTGCCATCATTCTTCTATGGTTAAGCATACAGTAAACTGGAGTCAAAACTGAGCTGGCATGCTTATTTTATTTTATGTTAGAGACTCAGAATTGTAGATCGTAAAATGAGCACAGCAAGTAGGCAAATCTAGATGGTAACCGAACATTTTAGAGCTATTCCGACGTGGCTCTGTAGGCCAAAAGTACAGTCCACTAGCATAAAGTAATCTCAATTCAGAATGTGGGGCATGAACATCCAAATCAAAGTTTATCAATAAATAGATTTCTACTTATAAGCCATTAGAAGAAACTAGTTTCACAAATGACCACATGTGGTAGGCCTTGGAGAATGAGTTTTCACTTGCTTGTGAAACATACCTGTACAAATTTTTATTCTCTTGCACTTGACTGGGTGCTCGGAAGGTCACAAAAGCCATTTCAAAACTTTACATCACACCTGTGAGACTTAACACTTCTAACTTCCACCTACTGAACCTGTTCAACAAAATAAAAAGGACACAGCTTTCTGAAAATACTAGGTTTTATTAACACCCCAGTGGTAAACAATAACTTTGTTATGTTGACCATTACTTCTTTGTAGATCACAGTCACAGAATACAAAAACCCATAGCATAAACAAGCAGACATGATCAATGGACATGGTCTGATTGGAAATATATTGCAAGGGTAAGATCTTGAATGTACCATTTCCAAGGTAATAACTGTATTTCTAGAACAAAGTCATGAAGGCACAGCTATTGCAAGCGACTGACACCTGTTTAAAACTACTGGGCTGAAAAATACTTTGGTTCCGTAGGAGATTATCTAAACGGAAGGCTGGTTATCTGACTGCAGCTGTGAAGACTCATAACTGCTGAGATATACATGGCGAAAAGACTCCACAATAACCAAGACTATGAAGCAGTGAAGAACATGCTTTAAGGGATCTCTGCATCCTATTAAATATCTGGCAGGAGATTACACTTAAAATACTAAGTCCAATGATCTTACCATTTGAACATGTTTTTTAAATGTTTAATTTTATTGTTTTATAACAAAAAAATTGTTTACTTTATTCTACCAAGAAGATACAAAACATAAGGCTGTAAGTAACTAATAGTTTAATTTATTACAGTGCAGGTAATCCTCAAGGCCACATACACACTGCTTCATTGCTGTTTGCACTCAGCCGGGTTTTGATCTTTCTGTAAAGAAAAATAAAAATAAAGTATTAAGTCTTCGTAAGCAATACTATAAACCCAAGAATCACCCATTTTGTGCCAATACACCATGAATGTGCCCCAAATCCTAAACCTTCAAAATAAGGCTCACTGAAAAACCAAAAGAAAGTATCCGGCTCCTCATAACAGATTGGTTCCAATGCTTAAACCCCCCCACCCCCTTCGAAAAGCAGTTGGACCCACAAGTAAATTTTAATAACAGTCTTGCCAAAGTCATTCTTTCAGATATCCCAGTGTTCACAGCAAACTATTCACTGTCTAGCACAATTAAAAGAGCACCATAATACCAGATTGGATCCTGGGTACCTCCCCATTCCGCTTTAGCTCCAAGACAAATTCTAAAAATGGTAAACACTTTACCTGTGCTCTTTTTAAAATAATTTTATAAACAATTTTCAGCTTGCTGAAGATATACAAGAAGCAAATGTAGCCTGTACAACTTCACCAATTAAGATGTCTATGTGCACTTTTATCCCCCAGTTTATAAAAAAAAAAAAAAAAAAAAACTGCAAACTTGCTCCAAGGTATACAAAGATGCTATCTAGCCAGATTTAGCCAAATGTGTTTATGTGCAATATTTGTATAAGGAAGAAAAAAAACAAAAAACTTGATGTACAGAAATGTGCATTCTACCAGAAAGGTTAGTGCTCAGTGAGTTATAACACAAAAGACCATTAGTGTATTAAGATACTCAAGGCAAAATTTACATACCCAGAACATGAATTCTAGACACTTTTTAAACCTAGTGAGGAAAAATTTCAAAGGTACACATACAGAAATAGAATGTAGTTAACCAAAACTGCATGTCTGCATTTGTTAGACTCACAGTGCATGCTTTCGGAAGGTAGGTTTGAAAACATACACTACACAAATAAGGGTACTTGGCATGTTCCAAAACACCACAGCATGCATAAAATGCTGACTAGTTTATAAGAATTACTATTCTGCATGCTGTATGTAATCGGTGTCCTTTTAGAAAGTTAAAACTCCTCACCTTGGGTTCATAGTCTGGATCATTTTCCTCATCTGCTTCTTCCTCACCTTCCTATAAATTGAAAAAAATGCTTAGTCACAGGCAGTCTAGAACAGAAAAATAAAAAACAAATTGAGCACCACATACAATCCCTTTAGGGCTCACTACCCCCCAAAACACACAAAATATTGCAGCACATTAGGGAGACTAGTCCCCATTGAAAATTTGTTCATGTCAATACTTTGAGCTGTTTTTTGGTAACTTTTACAAACTATGCAAAGTTCACTTAATCCAATGACAGCAAAATTTTGCACAATGTCAGTGGTTCCCAGCCAGAGAAATTGGGTAACAAAGCTTTAGATTATCCAGTCAGATGACTGGATTTAGCATTAGCAAAACCTGCAGTACTTCACAAGCTTAATTTTTTTTTTTAATCTAGTGTTTACAATGGATGTATTTTAATGCATGTAGTTTAGAAATTCACATACCTTATGCAAACCTTACTACATGTCTAACGGAAGCTAAGCTTTTCTATGGTGTCTATATAGTAGCCCTGTCTTATCTAGACATCTATAAATTAGAAAACTGAAATCCTGCTTGCTTACAACCACAGGAACATTACATGTAGAATCCCTACATTGCATATTTAGAAAGTCATCCACTTGGAAGGAAATGGCTTCTTGGGAGTGTTCTGTACATAGGCAAAGAGCTGTGCATGCTTGTGGTTTGTCACTATATTGTGTGTTTTCCCCGATTGTATGGAAATCTACAGGGATTTAGTGCTCTTATTACAATACTTCACGTTAAGCAGACCCTCTTTAGCAGAACGTTTCATAACTGGAGTGGCTAAAGAAGAGAACATCTCCACCAAGTTTGCAAATATCTTGCAGTGTACATAGCTGGCCTGCAGATTTAACTATCCATTTTCATTTTAGCAAATAAGTTTGTGCAGCTGTTTTATAGTTACCTCATCATCTGCTTCTTCACCCTCCTCATCATACTAAAACAAAAATACATAAAATCACTTTTCATCTACAGTTCAGGAAAAGTGGCCTAGCTGTGATTTAGATAATTCACATAGCATTTGCAGTACAACAAAGCCAGAATAGCACTATATAGAACTACAACATAAACAGTCAAACTTTATTCAATCAAGCTGTATTTTTTTTCTTTACAAAAAAGTTGGTATTTACATCATCGTCGTCATCTTCTATAGCTTCAACCAGTGAAGTAAAGCACGGATCGAGGAACTATTCGCTCACGTAAGAAGTGTCCGATTTCAAAGTCTGCAGTAAGAATAGCTTCGGCATCATCATCCTAGTTAGGCAAAGAGGGAAAATAAGTTACAAGTAGTAGTTTGGGACATTAAGCAGTAGTAGCAAACATTACATTTTCTTTCCTTTTCATTGAATCATTGTGAGAGCAACTGCTATATATCAATTTAAAAAATGCAAAAACCACCACATGAGCAGCCAACATCCAAACAATGCATTAAAGTGTAGCTTTCACAGAAAATATTTCAGAAAAAGGTTTTATAATTAAATACAAGGCTCGCCTGTCCCATCCAATTAATTGACTTCTCTGTCAACATTACAAACAAGCCAGCCAAGGCACATACAGTATAAAACATAGCAAATTCTAACCAGCTGGCAACCTAAAGACCCAGTTGTACATGTGAAGCACCACATCCCAGATTGGAAATAGAAATGGTTATGATAAGGTATAGAAGACCTCCCTGTGTAAAACTACACAGTTAGCCCTTTGTAACAGATGTCAAAGTAGCAGTTGGTTAGGGCGTTTCACCATCCTTTCCTACATATTTCAAGTCTTCCCATTTCTTCAGGAGGAATTGAACATCAGAACAAATTCAGTCTAAATGAAATAACAGTTTTGGGATTGTGTAAAATCACACCAGAATTTTGTATCTTCAAAACTGTTAGACTTAGGCAGGCCATACATTCGGCAATTTTCTGTAGCAAAAAAGAAAATGGATTGATTCCCCACCAGTGTTTATGGGGGAATCCTTCCTGCTGAGGCTATTGTGTACTGCCAGCAGGGAATGCAGAAAGCCTTCCCCACCAAAAGAATACAGTGATCACTGGTGGCAGCCATTGATGCTGGCAGTTGTCGGCAACCCCAAAAAACAAACAAAAAACACACAAAAACAGGAGGAAAAGAAATTTAATCTCCAAAACACGAAAAGGTTTCTTCACAGTGAGCTGTGAAAACGTGGAATAGACACCCTCAAGAGTTGGTTCTGGCCAGCTCAGTGGATTGCTTCAAAAAAAAAAAAAGGCCTGGATTCTTTCTTGGATACACAGAATATAACTGGATACTAACATTTATAGGTAAAGTTGATCCAGGAATACCCGATTGCCTCTCGGGGATCACAAAGGTTTTTGTTTTCCCAGCCGGAGCAAATTGGATCATGCTTTGCTGGGGTTTTTTATTGCCTTCCTCTGTGGGTATAGGATTATAACTTTTTTTCTATGGTTGAACTGGATGGACTTTTGTCTTTTTTCAGCCAGACTATGTAACAGAAAGGTACTACTGATGATTAACAATGAGGGGCTGAGATTACAGCCCACCTAAGGATACCCATGAGCCTATTTTACTCTAAAGTTTGGGTAACATTACTGTAACAATACTTGAACAGTACAAAATATGAAAACTATAACTTGCCTTGGAACAGTGATGCACCAACACCTGTAATTGTGTTTTGAAAATTATGGGATTGTGCACATTCTGATCTAATGCAGCCTCTCAACCAGGGTGCCCAGGCACACTGGGGTGCCTTGGAAAAATGGCCAAAAGTTGCTAAAAACTTATACAAGCCAGCAGGTGGAAGAATTCAGACTTCGTTACACAAAGCCACAGACCTTCATTGTGCGCCATTACAACCTTCTAACCATTGGTGTCCTGACAACCAATGACATCAGTTGATGAGGATGTCAGTTGCCTGCATGGCATCCTGTTTGACCTTCCCCTGCCCCTCTCCATCAGTGCTGGGATCACATTAGCTCAGTGATGGAGAAAAATTGAGAGAAACTCTAATACTAGTCAAAACCAGTGTGCAAAAGTGTATCTGATTTGGAAGAAAAAAAAAAAAAAAAAAACCCTTTAGCGTTGGGTATCCTATGTGTGTAGATGTTGCTGCGTCATATAAAACTATTAGAATAGTGTTTTACATTTTAGAATGGGGTGCCTCGACTGTCCATAATTTTAAAGGGTGCCTTGGGACTGTGCATAATTTTGTAAGTGGTCTTGAAATTGTCCATAATTATAAAGGGTGCCTTAAAAAAAAAAAAAAAAAAAAAAAAAAAAAAAAAAAAAAGAAGGGAAGAAGGTTGAGAAACACTTATCTAATGTATGACCTACTGTACTTTCATTTAGACTGAAAAATTTTCTCCTCTTCAGGAAGCCACAAAACACAAGCAAAAAGGATGGTGGAACACCCAAACCAACTGCTATTTTGATATCCATTACAAAAAGGGTCGTTTACATGGAGTTCTTCTCTCCAATTTTATGAAGGAAGACTTTTATAATATTGTATTACTAGTACCCATAAAAAGATTGTATTTTAGGTTTGTTTTAATTCTTGGGATGCCTATAAAGTCCATACCCAATTGAATCGTAAACCATTTCTAAGCCAGCCAGCTTGTTATTGTTCCATGCAACAAGGCACTTAACAGCTGGAGCTTGCCAACTGCATCTAAGATTAGTTCCATTATATTTTTTTCTCCCCATTGGTCACCAAAAAAAAAAAAAAAAAAAAAAAAGTCTTTACTGTGAAATCCTTTGTTGGAAGTCACAGGGCACTTCATATTCATGATTACTTGAGTTATGCTGCCATCTTCTGGCGAATGGACACCTTCTACTGGGGGGAGGGCAGAAGACTGCCCATGCTTAATCCTAATCATTTGAAGCCAGTAAGAAACCAGAAAAGACCTCCCCACACCAAGAACTGGCTGAAGGATTGTGCCCCTTGGACAATAGAAAAGCCAGGTCAGGGATTCAAAGCTAATCTGACTTAGGGGAGCAATTAAAGGACAAATTGTGCAAGGGGTTCTAGCTCCCTACCCAGGGATTCTGCAGCCCAGCCCATTAGGTTTGGGGCTACTCTGCAATTCCATTGCACAGTTTCAGGCATATAGAAACTTTTTTTTTTTTTTAAACACAATTTATGACGTTACAATCACCTATCACAGTGATGGGCAACCTTTTTTTTCAAACTGAGCCAAATCTCGCCAAAACCACGATTGAAATTTATGTTGAGAGCCACATTTTTAAAACTGAAAATACATCCCCCATATAGTAATTCATCCCCCCATATAGTAATTCATCCCCCCATATAGTGTCAATTCACTTACCTTTGCTCCGCGCGTTCCTCTCGCGCCGTGTTCCCGCGCCGTTCGGTCTTCAGGGCGGACTGTGAGAGGAGAGGAGTTTGTCACGCTGCCCCGCCTACATCCTGACAGGCAATGTGCCGGGCGCCCGAGAGGAGGGAGGGGAGCGGGCGCCCGGCACACAGAAGAGCCGCATTAAATTGTGTAAAGAGCCGCATGTGGCTCGCGAGCCGCGGCTTGCCGACCACTGACCTATCACATAGACCACATCAGCAAGGGATCCATGAACAGATCCCTGGTTAAACCAGATCAGTGTCACATCTGACATCTGTGTATGTTCATTTTTCCCTTCCATCACACACCTTTGTTTTTTCCCCCCGACGACTACTTTGAGGTAATCTGATGTAAACTTACATCCGTTTGTCGAGCTTTTGTGCAGATCTGCCTGAATAATATGCAGAGGGGGCAGGAAAGTATTATCAAGACCTTGCACAGGCAATGGCACCAGAGCAAGTAGCACTCAGCATATGTGGAAGGGGCAGGGACACTATTTACGTGTGAAAGGGCCACGAATGATCCCCGCATTAAGCCAAGCACAACAAGACATGGAGCTATAAAAAATGTGGCGGACGCTCTGCCCATGATTTTACACACCTCCCAGTAAACAATTCTAAACCAGTAAAAAAAACCTGCTAGTTTACAAAGTAATAGTATAACTTACCAGTTCTCCATTTTCTGGTACTAAAAAACAAAAAAAAAAAACAAAAAAAAAAAAAAAAAAAAAAAACACACAAAGAAAGCACATTGTTAACTGTACAACATTAAGACATAAAATTACTAATAAAGTCACAAAAAAAACCCCAAAAAACAAAAAAAAGCCACTGGGGCACCTAGCCATTATGTACAACAAAACTAGAAAAGGATGCACAAGGAATGCGCTTCCATCAAACATTTGTTAACTTCAAACTAGAAAGGACCAATATCATTCACATTTCTATTATGACATACATTTATAAAGCAGGGGTATGGCCAAACTGCAGAGCAGAGAGCAATTCAAAATGTGTGGTGGTGGTGAGCAGCCTATCACTACCTGGATTCAACTTAATTGGGAGACCTATGTCTCGTTAAACAAAATGGAACTCCAAGGGTAACCCCAGTGTGTAAAACTATGCCCACTGATCTAGCAAAACAGCCATTCTGTAGAACATCAAACTATTTTAAAAGCAAGACAAAAAAGCTCTTGGGACAAAAAAAAAAAAAAAAAAAAAAAAAAAAACGCAAAAATAATTTAGTGTTGCAAATTCTACAAAGCATGCTTTCTAGCTTTGCACAACAAAAACTAGGCTCCTGCTATTGTTACAACAAAATGGTTGAAAATTTCTTATGAGTTTAAAGAATGTCTCAATGCTTCACTTTTATTTCTAAGAGAATTTACAAACTTGTGGTTATGCTTGCAAGACCCTGACAGTATTGCATCAGCAAGTATTCCAGCCCCATTTGCTACCTCAGGGAGGTACAGGAGTACCACACTGGTGAAAGTACAGAAACCCCAGGGGTAGAAGTATTCTATACACAACCCATGTTATGGTTACAAGGTATTCACATTTAGGCTACATTCACACCGGCAATATAGGCCGGTGCAAATTGCAGCAGCAGGAGTCTGTTTACACCTGCGGATGAGTGTGGCTAAGTGCAGCTGCTGACCTCATTCACTGACAGGTTAGCGGCTGCAGCCATTCACAGCTCTCCGACAATTTTTCGTCTGAAAGAATAATCGGCTGATTTTCGCACTGTTAGTGGGGCAAATGGCATCAGCCGATTTTCGCGGTTCCTCCTCATTTCTTTTACCGGTCATGCTGGAAAATTTGAGAAAAATACGATTTTTGCAATCATTGGTGGCAACATCGGTTTACAGAACAAACGATGCTTCGTTTTTCAGACAAAAAAAAAAAAAAAAAACAAAAAAAAAACGGTCGATAAACAGTCTATGGCCTGCAATAGTCAGTGATTGTTGCTGGATACAAAGTGTTATGCAGATAACAGCTGCCAGCAACCTGTCATAGTAAAAACAAAGCCAGCGGTCAGCGAAAGTTCCCACAAAGTCAGATTGCCACCCATCACAGTCCCACTAAAAGTTGCTGATCCCAACAATTAGAAAACAAAAAAAAATTTTTTTTTTTTTTTTTAAAGTATACACACCCCATAATTTGCAGATGCTTTACCTTCACTCAAACCTATTAATATACGCCTATTGGGATTTTTTTTTTTCTACCCAAGACAGGTCGCAGAATACATTTTGGCCTAAATTTATGAAGAAATTTGATTTAATTTATTTTTATTGTATAGGTCTCTCATTTAAACAATTAAACCCAGTGATCAAATGCCATCAAAAGAAAGCAGTGTTAAAAGAATGTCCTGTAGGGAACACCAATGCATGAAAACATGATGATTACTAGTTAAAGTAGCACAGTGCCGAATGGCAAAAAATGGCCTAGTCATGAAAAGGGTTCAACCACCTGGAGCTTAAGTGGTTAAACACAAAGGGCCCCTAGGAGCGGTTAGCCATAATGTATGGTATGGCACCACATATTAGCACATTATGGCAGACTGTCAAAACAATCCTCTCCAGCATGGTGCTGTAAGCATTCCCGCTGGTCATGGTCACTTCTATCTTCCAGGCTTGGACTGTTTGGCCACTCCCATGCATGCACACCAGAATCACATGGCACAGAGGCATGCTGCAAACAAACGCCATGCACGCGCCTCTGTTTACATTAATGCTGACAGGCAGAGACAACACATGACAGATCACTAGGGTCTATCCTGTCAAACCCCCCCCACCCCAATAGTCATTTCCACCTTAAACTGTCTCAATCCTTGCAATGTGTACAAGTTGATTAAGAGGAGTCCTCTGCAACCAAAAGTGGACATTCACTGCAAGGCCTCATGCCTCACGGATAGATACCAATGCAGAAGTACTGGTGTGCATAAGGCCTTGAAGTATAGATCATGTACTATACAACATAGGCAAATACAGACCAGGCTGTAAGGTTGCTAAAATTTCCCCATTTGAAGTCATCAACCAATTAGAAAAGAATAAAACCATGCAGGCATCCAAAACACCAATTGCAAACTAGCACAAGATTAAAACAAAATATTGACATGATCACATGTAACTTAGTCATTCAAACCTTGCCCTAAAGTGTTACTAAATCCAGGACCCTGCATTTACTATATCTGGTCTCAGACAGTACACAGAACATGGAAATGAAATTATATTAGTAAATATAAACGGCTAAATACCTCATCTCATCAGCAATTAGAGCAGTCTTGTGACTTCTATCAGTATCCAGCAGAGCACTGGTTAAAACTTGGAAGGTTTTCATTCTCCCCTGAGTCCTATGAAGCTGCATAACCCCTGACCCTCTATACAGCACCAATTGGCCCTGTGCTAATCACATGCATGCCAAAGAAAAACCATAGCAATACACACCCAACTAAGCATGTGCAGCTTGCCCTCAAGACTGTTCTATCAGCAGATGGATTGGGGACAGTAGAAGGGGAGGACCGGAGAACAGAGGATCAAATATTTTTAAATTCGGAGGACTAACCCCTTAGGTTCCACAGTGAGTAGAACAAGCATGCTTTACTGAGCATGCATATACAGACTGATTTTACGGTTAAGGATTTAGTAACACTAACTTACAATATGCATCAAGGGTAATAAACTTGATCTTGATTTCTAATAAATCAAATTTAATGCTAGGCGAATGCTCAATTCCCCAGAACACAGATGCATATGAAAGTAGGAAGTCAATAGTAGCCAGCACAACTAACCTTCAGGAGGGCAGAAGAAGTTGAAGAACGAGTCATTGGGAACAGTTTTTGTAACAGTCCTTACAGTACCACGTCCCTTATGTTTTTGTTTCTTCTTTATGGTTTTTAAAGTAACATTTTTGCCTTTCTTCCAGTCAATCTGGCATCTGTAAAACAGTTCAAAGCAATTACAGGAAACTGAAGCTTGCAGTTTCTTGCCACGTCCATGTAGAGTAGGACTGTAGGAAGCAAAGTGATATAATCTATTACTGCACATTTTAATAAGTATCCTAAAGGCCAAATTTTTTTTACCCCAATGCATTCCCTGCATTAACGTGGAACTTTAGTCAGAGAATTATGTCCTGTTCAACTGTCCGAGCCTGCCAAGCTTTCCCATAAGATAGTAGGTCCTTTGTCTTAGGCTGGCCTCTCTCCTCAAGGTGGTTTGGCCTTTCACCTTAACCCTTTGGCATCAACTGCCTCCCAGGCATTAAAGGGCTCCAAAAGCCAGGAGGTGAGCCTTCGAGTCATGCGACTGTTGAGATTGGCTGTCACATGATCAGAAAGCTCCCAATCAGCTTACTGATCCATGCCTGCTACCGTAATGGTAGCATGCTCTCGGCACAGCAAGAAGTTTTAACGAGCCCACAAATATGCGTGCGGCCAGCAGCAACAGGTTAATGAGGATATCATCCTGTCTTCATATCTGAAAGAAGTGGCTGCCCACTGTATGGGAATGGTAAGGGCTATTAGAGCACTTTGCGGCAAGTGTGCCCATTCAGAAGTCCAACGCCTTGTTCACTATTCCAGACAACGTCAGGCTGCCTAGTCTCCCACCACTTCCAGATTGAGTCACAGAATGGTAATCCAGGCCAATGCTCTTATGAGGCTCAGTTTAATTACCACACATACCACCAGGGCGCTTAGCACGTCCTAGGCTTTTCACTCTGCAGGTTTGCAAGGCAGGTACTTTGTAAAACTTCATAAAACATGCCAAGTAACGACAGATGATGTGGCTGCAGGTGGCATTTTAAGTTACGCCCAAGCTCAGTTTTTGGTTCTGTTAAGTTTGGGCCCACCCCTTTCGTTATCTGGAACTGCTTTGGACGTCCACAGAAAAAACTAGATTTGTGTCCCCCATAAAACCCTTACAGAGTTGATTGAAAGACAGCACCTGCCTAATTTTGTTTTTTGGCCATCTGTGTGGTCATCCTGTTACTGCAGTTTATTAACAGAATCCTGTACAGCAGATTGGGTATGGACACTAGATGGGGGCCGCTTAAGAGTGCTTTAATTTTAAAGCGGATCTCCAAAAATATATAGGACAACCCAGGTACAGGGTAACGTAACCAACGACTTCAACCTGAGCAGGCAGGAACCAGTCAAAACTAGGTACCCCACTCGAGAACCCCCCCCCCCCCCCCCCCCCCCCCCCCCCCCCCCCACCCCCCCCCCGTTTCAAAATTACATGCCAAAATTAGGTAGAGGAGGGGGGTGAACTTATAGCAGAATTTTCCCCTTTTGGGGTCCTGCCCTTGAAGGTGGCGGCACCAAATCCAGCTGTAAAATGTCATGTTAAAACAAAAAAACTCCACAATCTTTTACAAATCACCAACATGGGCACCTGTAGAAAAGCCCCAATACACACACTGAAGATATTCTTTAAATTGGGGTCTCTCCTCCCATGGACCAAAATTGCAGAAAAATGTGTTGAGACACTAAAACCATGTTCATTGCAGTAATGTGAACTGCTCTATGCACACTAAAAATCCCATCCATAGGGCATAATCCATCACAGGAGCAAGGGTAGCTACTTTCAGATGTGCAGTGGGATCAGGTGGAACAAAACAGCTACTCTCTAACAGGAAAATCAGGCAAAAGGAGGGGAAGGGGAAAAAAAAAAAAAAAAAAAAAAGCATTTGGAGATCTGAGAACAAAATTAGCTTTTGGGTTGATACATGAATAGAAGAGATTTTTCTTCTTTTAAACCAGAGTTTAGGGTCACTAACTCAGACTGCAGAAAGATCAAATGCAACACATCTCTACAGACTTGGGGGCACCATAAGCAAGAATCTGCCCCTGCCATGAACAGGCCAACCATGTGCAAGGATTAACCGTTTCTAATCCAGCACTTTAGTGGAGCCTGGCGGTTTGAAACAGCCATTTACCCACTGTAAAATCTCTTGGGAGTCCACTGAGGAACACAGGAAGTCTAACTACAGGAATATACTGGCACCTACAGGGGGATTGGACAATGTCCCTTAATGAACTCCAAGAAGTGCAGAAATTTTTCCATTGAGGGGCAGTCACTGTTGTACATACAAAATCAGTCCAACTGTGGGGAAGGCAACGGCAAAAGCAAAATTAAACAGACCAAGAACAGAACTGGGGACTGCCTGCAGTTCAAATAGCTGCCTAAAGTTGCTTACACCGCAACCTGGCACGAGCATCCATCAAAAACCCTGGAGAACCTGAACAAAGACCAGGTGGTAGCCTTTAGTGGCACTTACAGATCTAATACATTGTGCACGAGAAAAAAAAAAAAAAAAAAAAAGGGGTGAGTTTGGGGAGGTGGAAACCAACTCAAGACAATAAGCGTGAATGATTGTCTGCCAGAGCCACTAAAATGGAACGAGAAGTCAGTTTCCCTGAAGGAAGCATACTTCTGCTGTCCCTCAGAACCTGGGCTTCAAAGAGCCATGTTTGTTAAAGCCAGCAGCTGTGAAGCAGGATTGTAAATCTATCCTTTACTCAGAAGATCTGAACAATCTGGAAGATCTCATGGAGTGTCTGCCAGGAGTCCTATGAAATTAGATTGCCAGATTTAGGAATTGCTGGAATGCACTCCACCCTGATCCTGTGCAGATTAGGAAAGGCGTAGATCAATGTGTAAAGATTCCAGGGAGCCACCAAGCTTTCACTAGTGCAGTGGTAGACAACTGCACTCACCTGTGGTGAAGCCAAATTTCACGAGGCACTGCAAGACAGTCACAGGCACAGACAGATTATGGGATTTGTTTCACCACAGCTGGAGTGCAGAGCTTGCCAACCCCTGCACAAAAGATCCCTGTACCTGTCCAGTTTTCTGAAACTGAATGCCAAGAGTTCCGGATCCAGAATTCACCTCCCATCCCCCATGACAGGTCCTGGAATGATTGTATGGACTACTTCCTCTGGTCCAGATGCTGCTGGCTGAGAAAGTCTAAGAATTGTCCCATTCATGGGATGTAAACAGCAAAGGGAAGAACATGAAATTCTGCTCAGGACAAGATCAGATCTACCCCTTAGCACCATGAAATTGCTTGTTCCTTCTAGCAAATGGTGCGGCCTTGGAGGCTACCAACAGCTTCAAGACTGATGCAGAAGCAAAAAGTTGGGCAACTCCTGGACTGAAGATTAGAAATGTGGAGCAGAGTTTAAAGTTTCCCCTGTGGGAGGGGAAAAAAAAAAAAAAAAAACACACGACGACACTTTTGCATGGTCTAGAACTAAACCAAAATATTCCAAATAAGTCAGGTGAAAACAGATTTCCCAAGGTACAGGAGCCTTCAGAACCTTCATAGATCATTTCCCACTTTGTCCTTGCTTGTGAAGTTGACTAGCAGTGCACACCTGCACTCCTTCTCACAGAGCAAGGTCTGTATGATCAGGGCTATGTTCTGAACCTGTGCAGAATGTTCTAGCAAGAAAGGTCACCCATACACAGCACAATGGAAATGCCCTGGGGCCACAAGCTGAAAGTGGACGCAGAGTAAAATTCAGAATATTACCGATGCACTGGAAGATGAGGACTTGCAGGTATGCACCCTTAAGGTTTCCCTGATAGAGAGGCTGTGAAGTCCAAGAGATGTCATAACCCCCCCCACTTTGGCTTGGAAAGTGAGCAGATTAAAAACTCCTTGAAAGTTCTTCCACAGGGACTGGGGGCAAAGATAACCTGTTCCAAAACTAGGGCTGTATAGAGATCTGATGATCAGCATTGAAAGGCAGGCTTAGTTACTTTCCATATCCAAAGTATATGTCTGCAAAGGCCAGAGACATCCCACACTTGGGCAAGTGGGGACACAACCTCATGCACAGACTACTTGCTTGAGGGTTTGGAAGACTTAGGCTGGCCGAAAACTAGTAGAATTACGTTCAAAATTTCTAAATTTTAAAAGAACATTTGTTCCATCTTCAAATTTTCTCACCACTGTGGTTGAATATGAATGTCTGTACGACTCCAATAATTATAAAATAAACGGTTTCCTTGAATTAACAAGCTTCTAAACCACGGGTGTCAACCTGGCAGCCCTCCAGCTGTTGCCAAACTAAAGTGAGGCATTGCAAGATTGACAGTTGCAAGCATGTATCCCAAAGGCAGAGGTATGATGAGACTTGTAGTTTGGCAACAGCTGATGGGCTGCCAGTTTGACACCGCTATGAAAAAACCATTCACAGTTTAGAACAGGTGTCAAACTGGCAGCCCTCCAGCCGTACTGCGGACTTACTAGCTAGATCACCAGGTGAAAAGGGAAATCAAGCCTAAAGAAAACTAATGCATCCACAAGTATTGGCATGCTGCAAAATAAAGGTTTGCTTTTGGGTTTAGTACCAGAAATTTGGGACATTCCGCTCAACAGCCACACCAACTCTGCACTTTGTTCTCTTTTTAATACAATGGTCCTCCCCTGCCTTACATAGTAAAAACTCAAAAGGTTTTAATATACCACCAAAAGTATACAGTGTAGAAACACCCCCCCCAAAAAAAAAGCAGCATGCATCTCTATTGGGAAGAGCACACCTGAACACTTACAAAATATTCCATTCTATTTTTGCATCACGCAACCTTTGAAGTCTTGCAGGGTTCTGAAATATTGCACTTCTTTGCAATATCCATGATGCAATAAATGTTAGAATTCTGGTATGCTGGCAGCATTCTATTGATGCTGCATACGATGCCAGTCTGTTATAGCACCACACAAGTGGTTTCTGATATGGTGCAAAAATGTGCAACCTATTAGGATAATTTCCCACCACCTCTTCAGACAGAAGTGAAGGGAATTATTTCAATGGAAAAAAAAAAAAAAGATACCATTTTAAAACCAAGAGGTCTAGTGATAAAACATTTGTAGGACAATCACAGACATACAGGTTGGATGAATTTTCCCTGTATTTTCAGAAAATTCTTGTGATGGTCAGCTCCCATAGTGGCCAAAAAGCAGTATATTTTCTCACTGAAGTCGTTCAGAAGACTATACTGCATTTTGGCCACTAGATGGATCAATCATAGGAATTAATCAAAGACAGGAAAAAAAAAAAAAAAAAAAAAAAAAAAAAAAAAAAAGTTTCCAGCCATGCGTGACATTTTCCCAACATTTTATAAAGACACCTTTAGGGCTCACTCACACTGGAATGCAGTGCAGGAGAGCTGCGTTCCTTTGCGGCTTCCCGCACCGCATCTGATTGTAATGCCCTTGCTACCAAACACAGGTCACAAACATTGTTTGCCACTAAACTGCATGGTACAAAGTACCCTGCGAAATGCGGTTGCTGTGCATTTAAGTAGTGCAAGCACTACTTTTAGTGTGGTCCGCTTTCAGCTCATTCAAATGAATGTGCTTGAAACTGCACTGCATAGACCCACATATGCGTCGCACAGGAACGCACAGCGTGTTCCTGTGCAAAGCAGATCAGGGCATCATTTGAACCGGCCCTATAGTGCACATAGCTAGTCTACCATCTATATCCAAAACCCAAAGCCACCAGTGTGCCATTTGAAACACCATCTGCTGAATTAAAAGTCACAACTTTTAAGTATGCTTAGAAAACAGAACCCTTACCCTGTACAACCCATAATTTCAGGTCCATCAAATGAGAAGGGATCAGTTTCATCAGGTTCCGACCTCATTTTATACGTTTTTGTCAACACTTCATTTGTAAAGAATTCATTAGGCTCAAAATGAAACTCTAAGGTGAAACTCTAAAAAAGGGGGGAAAAAAAAAAGTCAGTAAACAATTATAGAATTAGAAAAAAAAAAAAAAAAAAAAAAAAAAAAAAAAAAAAAAAAGACACCCTCACTTTTTCAACTGTCAGTGGAGGTGATCAGTTGTCTGAGGTCCTGAGTACTGTGGAACAGGTTTTCATTGAGGATGTCCACTTTTTGCTCCATTCAGCTTTCCCTCAGCCCTGACCAGTTTTCCCAGTCCCTGCTGCTGAAAAACACCCCCACACCATGCTTCCCTCTTGGGATGGTAGTGGGCAGGTGACAAATGGTGCCTGGTTTTCTCCAGACAGAACATTTAGAATTGAGGCCAAACCATTCAATCTTTGGAACAAGATTCTCTGGTCTGATATAACACAGTCTTTCAAGAGCTTTTATTTGAAAAATTCCAGGCAGGCTCTCATGTGTATTGCATTGTGTTCTGTCTAGCCTCTCTGCCATAAAGCCCAGATCAGTGGACAGCTGCAGTGATGGCTGTCCTAGAAATTTGTTCCATCTCCACACAGGATCTCTGGAGCTCAGAGTGACCACAAGGTTCTTTGTCACCTCATTCTAAGGCCCTTCACCAATTGCTCAAGTTTGGTCATGCAACCAGCTCCTTGAAGAGTCCTGATCTTCCATTTCAGAATTATGGAGGCCACTTTCTCTTGGGAACCTTCAGTGTAGCAGAAATTTTGTAGCCTTCTCCAGATCAGTCTTGCAATAATCCTGTCTTGGCTCTGCAGGCAGTTTCTTTGACCGGCTTTTGCTCAGATAGTCTGCATTGCCTGCAGAGGCCTTATAGGGAGGTGTATGCCTTTCCACATGTCCAATCAAGTTAAATTTACCACAGGTGGACTAAAAAGGCATAGAAACATCTCAGCAAGGATCAAAAGAAATGGGAGGCACCTGAGCTAAATTTCAATTGATGTTGCAAAGTGTCTGAATGCTTAGGCCACTGATTTCAGTTTTTCAACATAAAATTTGGTTTTCATTTTATCATTATGGAGTACTGAGTAAAGATTAATGAGGAAAAAAAAAAAGGAATTTAAACAAGTGTAGTTATCAGGCTGCAAGAGAATTGAAAAAAAGTGAAGGGGGTCTGAATATGTTATGAATGCACTGCATATATAGCCACAATAAAAACAAAGTTAGTGAAAAAAATGTCCATCTACAATACTCTGTCCAATATCAATACATGCAAGGAAAAGGTCCAAAAAAGGTGTCTGATGAGGATCAACTGTTAAGGTGAGCAAACGTCAATGGCACATAACATTTTTAGGTACCAAATGGCAACAAAAATTGTTCCAGGCAGCAGAAGTCCTCAACCAAATTAAACTACCATTCACTGAGTCTACAAGAATTGCTCTGGCACAAGCATGATTAATTGGAACCCACAATATTGCTCTCAAAGTCATACTGGTCTCAGTTTTCTATTAAAATTAAAAATGCACTCCGTGTTGCATACAAATCACTTAGTACAGAAAGGCTTATAAGCAGTTGATCTTTGTGATTAGGGTCAATCAGGGTGAACCAACACCTTTTGGAGTTTCACTTCTGGGAGAAGACCTTTCCTTGCACGTACTGGAAGCACTGAAATGGGATTGATGGATTATCACAGATCGGCAATTTTTCAGTAAATGTTTGTGCTCCAAACAGTTCTGTGGCTCTATTTGGAGTCAAACACTTATTGTGGGAAATAGACAGTTGATCTGTACACATTTTTATAATGATAAGCACAGCACAATTTATTGTTGCTTGGAAGGGTTTAACACTTTGGTGCTTGCAGCTGCAAGTTAGACTGGTGCATGAAATGTATTGAATACTGGTCAATCTTACCATTGGCTGACCAACATCTGAAAACTTTACTTTTATGTCCTTTAAATGCTTTAAGATTGGCTCATCATGCTCCTTAAGAATAAACAGAAACATTTCAGTCAAAATGCAGACAAAACTCCAAATTTAACATTATATAGGTTAGCATGCAATTGAAGCATACCTGGACCATATCGCTCAAAAGATCAACATTTTTAAATACAGTTAACCAGAATTCTGGGATTCCTTTGGGGTCTTCTTTCTCTTCGTCTTTTTTCTCCTCTTCAACTTTAGCCTTCTCTTTCATCTCCTCCTTGAAAGAAAAGATTATGCTCACACTGACAGCAATGAGTACTACCCATAGATTGAGCCAAACAGTGGCACCCTTATCCTGGATAAAATTGTTCTGTAGAAGTCAAGACTCCTGTACAACACAACCATAAGAGCTTGTATATATTGTAATGCCTACATTCAATGTGCAATTTTTTGTTGTGTCCAACTGTGGAAACCGCCTCAGTGGGAAAAAAGAAAACTGTCCATCTAAAACTAGGAAAGGGTTTAAGGATCAATTTGTTGTCGCCACCTTAGGATTACCTAAATGCCCTCCCTTGGGTAAAAATCGCTAGAGTTGATTTCACCACATCTTACACAATGTCAATACTGGGTAACGCTTTATTCTTCCCAGACTGCACTACTGAACACCCAAAGTCCAGTCTCCTACATAGCACATATACTTCTCAACTCTTAACACCCACACAGACTAACCCCCTACTTATGTGGCAAGATGGGAAGTCTTACCTTTGCTGTTGACCCGCTGGGAACTTTGGCCCAGATTAACATGGGCAAAAGTCCTGCAATGTGCTGGCAGCTGAAGCCAACTACAAACCACTTTTGTGAGAGCATCTGGTCACTATGTGGATTGCTGCTGCCATCCAGACTTATTCGTCACTGAGGATGTCGCACTGATGATTCATTTCAGCAAATTTGGTGGGACAGTCCCAAGGTCAAACCTTTGAAAGACTGTACCAATACAATTAAAAGTGTTTCTAAAGCTTAAAAGGATTTTTTACATTAATGCATTTTAGGTCTCAGAATCCCCCTGGGGTACCCCCCCCCCCCTTCTAGTTACCTGAGCCCAATTTGTCAAGCACTATCTGCATCATACCAGGACAGATTGACAACAGCAGGAGCCATTGTAAAAAAAAAAAAAAAAAAAAAAAAAAAAAAAAAAAAAAAAAGGAGTGGGGGGCAGGGCTGAGCTACGTTGCCTCTGAATAGGTGCAGGCAGGGTGGCTGGGGAGTGAGCCCGCACAGGTGCACCCATGGAAAGCAGATTTCTATGGAGGCACTTGCAGGGGTGGGGTTGCCAGGTGCACCAGCAGGGGACCCAAAAAGAGGGGGATCAGTGCCGCTTTGTGCAAAACCATGGCACAGAGCAGGTATGCATGACATGCATATAAAGGTTCAAAATTTCTCTTTTTAATAGACTACCACCAAAATGGTTATAGCTAGGATCTGGAAGTCCTCTTACATTTTGCAGAAGTAAAAGCACCATGTCTTACATTTCAAGAAAAATGAACGGCCATACATACCAAAACCATGAAAAAAATTCTAGGTTTAGGAACCATAGACCAAGTTGTACCTTCCTCCTACTTTGTGACGACTGACTCTCTGAATCAGAGGACCTTGGGTGATCCAAATATAAAAAACACCCCACACTTTTCTTCATTGCCGCCATTTGTCCCAGGACAAGGCATTACTGTTGGCCTGTTGCTTAGGCACTAAACAAATTTGTAATCAAATATGGTACCCATTATAGTTATGTCGCCTCTACTTGACAAAGTAATATACTGTAGAGCAATTTTTTTTTATCTTCCTGACTGAAAAAAAGCAAAAAAAAAGCAAAAAAAAAAAAAAAAAAAAAAAAAAAAAAAAGAAGAAGTTGGAGTACTCACTGAGATTTCCTCCTCTTCATCTATTTTCCACTCACATTCCTCTTCTGTAGGCTCATATGTAGCATTTATGATCTGGCTTCTCTAAACATTAAACATTTAAAGTTAGTAAAAAATATATATAAAATATATATATTTTGAAGAAAAGTATACACATGAAATGAAAACAGGTTACCTTGTCAAAGAGCGGCTGGTATAAGTCAGCATATTTCCTCTCCAATGCATGGACTTCTTCATAGAACTTTGCTTCAATCTGTGCACACTTCACCTGAAGATTTTTTAGTGCATTCACTCGCCTCTTGACCACTTTAGGCAAACTGCAATAGAAAGAAAGCAATTTTAGAATCACCGCATTTAAATTATTATAGTAGATTGTGTTAGCACAGGCAGACCGATGGGGGCCGCCTGTCTGTTTTAACAAGCGGACCTGATCGGCCCAATCAGACTATGGATCGGCAGGTGTCAGACAATGGTCCACTGACACCCACCGGCATCCGATCAGAAGAGTCAAAAACAGACAGATGGGGATCGGTTCCCCATCTCTCCAGTGGATCGGATGACAATAAGGTGGAAAACCGGACAGGCAGTCTATCTCCATCTAACCGTCCCATTGAAAACAGCAGGCAGTGTGTCCGCTTTGCACCAGCAGAGCAGACGTGTCATCTGCCTGCTCAGCAGAGATCAGCCGAGAGATTCCCCGTTGAGCAGGCAGATCACATGGACTGATCTGCCCCATCTGAAAGGGGCCTTACACTTCCATAATTTACACACAAGTACTCTATTCACCATTATGCACATTGACTGCTTTCTAAACACAAGATTCCGTCACTTAGCCACAAGACTGAACAGGGTAACGAGAAATGAAATGCTGGCATTTGTCTAGTTACTTTGCATCAGTCCATGAGATAAGGGAACAGAATTTCCATTCTGGAATAGAAAACATTCACTATACAGATACTGCTTTGCATTAAAGCATCTGCCAGCCATTTTAATTTGAGTCCAGACACCATAAATTCAGTCTGACAGACGTGCCTCCTATTTTCCAGGTGATAAACGATGCTCTGTGATGCTGGTTTCTAGATAAGACCTTCATATATGAAAGTTTAAAAGTATACATTATCCAATTTTTTTTTTTTTTAATACCAAATACAAGCATGTGTCACAATTTTCTTTGAAAGTTTTACCAACATAGTTAGGCTGCGATCAGGGTCAAGTTTGACATGGGCATTACTTTGCATGATCTGATCTGCTGTGTAACTGAGCTCAAGAGTCAATTCTCTTTAAAGCTGAACTCCGGCCAGAAATGTTATACAATATGTATACAGGTATTCCCATACAGTTAATGAATTTGTGTTACAGTGCAGTCCCCTTAGAATTCATAAATACAGTCTTTAATCTGTGAGGTGCCCTCTGTTCTCTCATCCTGTTCATAAGACCAGTGGCAGCTGTTCCCTCTATCCCCCTGTAGTTCTTGGTAAAGCGAGCAGTAATAGGATTACATCACTGCAGCGGGCAGACAAGAGTCCCAGACACCTGGTCTGACCTGACCATTGTACAGCATAGGCCTGGAGTCTGATTCATCCATACCCATATTCCTCACATACATGCCCAAAATGTCAACCCACCCACTCAAACTGAGCAGAATGGACTGGTAGCCCGAGATTATCTGGCCCGTCCACCGATTCAGGAGATTGCTTTACTGAGAACTGCAGTCTGAATTGGTGGCAATGTGGGCATGTATAGAATGAACCAGGCTTCTGGCTTGTACATCTAACAGTGCTGTACAGTGGGCAGAACAGACAGGGAGTGTCTGAAACTTTGGGGTCCATGCACTGTACAGCACAGTTCGATGGACAAGCCAGGAGTCTGATCCATACCATAAAAACCACACTGTTCCACCTACACCACCACCCATTCAGACTGGAAATACTAGGGCATGATGGGATTTGTAGTCTTTATATATGTGTTGATAAGCACTAAGAGGAAGTGATGTCAGCACTTTAAAGATGCCTCCTTGACACCCAAAGACAGAAAAATCTGTGGAAAGAGGATGTCAAATTGAAAGACTTGAGTTTTGTACCTAGCATGCAATTTTATTCTAAATTACTTTAGCAGTTTTGCTTAACTACATGTTTTATGTGCAAGTTTTATCACCATCCCAGAGTGGTCTAAAACACTTTGATTAAGAAAGTTGACTTACCTTTCAATATAACCTGTAGGAGTACCCACAAGGTCATCTAGCCTTTCCTGCAGGGCAGCAAGAATCTGAGGATTCTGCATCATTTGTGCAGTCAATTGTCTAGCTAGAAGTAGAACAAATATAGTAACAGTCAACAATGGTCCACGGTTGAGGAAATGCAAAGTCAAAATAAGAATCAAGCACAAGTGTGAAAGGTCAAATTAGTACAGTAAGGGGATGCAACTGAAGTGATCATCCTTAACATTTATGATCCAAAAAGAACAGATCAGATTACCTTTACTATTAGCATCCTCAGCAGTTTCTTCTTCTTCAACTTCTTCTACATCTTCCATATCCTGCTGGTCAAGTTCTGTCTCTTTGCTGTTTAAAGAGGGCACATAAATGTCAACCTTTACCAGGCAAAAGACACAGGAGCATCATCTTCCAAATACCAATAATCTTATCGATCATAATCAAAATGCTTAAGATAATTCTAGGCAAAATGTTATTTAGATAATATATGGAAGTGTCCTAATCTGTCAAGTTTGTATTGCTACCCAAGCCCTCATTCCAGATATTTTCCCTTACTTCACCACAGCACTCAGTCAAGTAGGACTCAGTGGGGAACTTTGCCACAAACAATTCTCCCCTTAGTTTTCCACACTGCAGTTTTTTTTTCGGTTACCTGCAGTTTCCCATAGACTTCTAATATCAGGCATTTTATGGAAGAGCACCAAAGATGCAACATGTAGGACTTTTGGTGTGTTTTCAGAAGATGCACCAAAAATGCCAGACCTAATAGAAGTACATGAGAAAACAGGTAACCTACAAGAAATACCGCAGGTACACGACACTGCAGCAGTGTAAAAGCACCCCAAGATATTCCCTCTACTGCTGCTCTAGCACCTGAAGTTTTGGGCTTTCCCTTACTGCCCTGTTGACAATGGGCATCGGGACAAATGGTGATCAAATCTCTCAAGTAAATACATCACTAAACCGACAAAGATTTCAACTTGCCCATACTCCAGGCAAACTTTGAAAAGGTTTGGCTGTAGTTCTAAGAAGTTTCCTGCACACCTTTACTATGGAGACAGATTAGAACTAGATAGTTTTGCCTCTAAACACTTGAAAAAGTGGAAAGACAGCACAAAAAAAAAACAGTAATTTCCCTGATATTTGGGTCATTCATCAAATTCCAACATTATGCCAGAAAGATGCTATCACCTCGCCTAGCAGCCACAGGCAAAGAAGTAGCAGCACTTCCGCCTGGCAGTAGTAGGGTCGTTCGTTCGAATCCCAACCATGACACCACCTGCCTGGAGTTTGCATGTTCTCCCTGTGCCTACGTGGGTTTCCTCCGGGAACTCCGGTTTCCTCCCACACTCCAAAGACATGCTGGTAGGTTAATTGGCTCCTGTCTAAAATGGCCCTAGTATGTGTATGTATGAATGTGATTTAGGGACCTTAGATTGTACACCCCTTGAGGGTTAGGGACTGATGTGAATGTACAATATATATGTAAAGTGATGTGTAAATTGACGGCGCTATAGAAGTACTTGAAATAATAAACTTGCCTCCATAGGTTTTTCCAGTTTAGTGCAGTGTTTTAGCTACGAGGAAACCAAAACTAAATAAGCAGACCATGCCATTTTAGTGCAATGTCTGCTTTAAGGCGGTATGAAACCCAAAAGCAAACATGTTGCAGTTTACCAATGCCTAGATGTGATGGCTGCACTTTTTCCTCTATTAGGCTCTTATTTTCACCTTATCCAGCAAGTGTTTTTCAAAATAGGCTCTCCTGCAGATGTAGCAGTTACAGGGATGAGAGGAGCCATTTACCACCGACAAGGGTGTACACAATAATCAGCTTTTAAGTAAAACCCTTAACCCTCCAAAAGAAAAAAAAAAAAAAAAAAGTATTAGCTGGAGTTTGGCATCAATTTCTTAGTGCATTTAAATGTGCTAGTACAAACACTACCTCTTTCAAGACTGACAAATGTTGCTGTCTAAAGGTGCCCCATTGCTCCTTCACCCAGTGTGAAGGCACTCTAATACAAGGTGCGTTACTGGCTAGGTCACCAGGTGAAAACAGAGGGGAAAGCCTAAAAGAAGAATGCAACCACCACATCAAATGATTGGCAAGCTGCATTACATATTTGGTTTTAATACTACTTTAAGCTCACTTTTCAGTAGAATGGCTTTGGGAAACTGCAACCAGGCTTTGAAAGTGGCAATAATGCAAGCAGAGTGCTACTGAACACTATGCTCTTACCATTCTCAACCTGAATCCCAATATATTTGGGGGTTATTTTTGTTTTTATCTGATGGGCAACATGCAATCAGACTTGGCACCGCAAGTATGTATGTTAAGTTCCAGGGCTCACCTGAAACCTAGCCGTCAAAACATTACACATTCTATATTCAGGGACAACATCCTTTAGCCATATTAACCACAAAATGGTAGATTTACCACAAAGTAAGGAAAGATCCACACCTAACCTAAAGAAATGAACACTTACTTGTCTATGTTGGCCATTTTTCAGATTCTTAACACCTGAAGAAAAACAAAGAAAGATACTAAATACAGAACAAAAAAAAAAAAATGTTTGACAGTCAAAGAATGGAGCATCAAACTGCACCAGACAGAAGCAAAGCCAATAATGGAGTCACCTGAAGAAGTTCCTCAGCATGTTTCATACAATTGAAAATATTCACATTTACTTTTAACCCCTTCATGACAAAGGGTAAAATCAAATCCTAACCCCTGAACAGTTTTGCAACTTTGAAGCATTAGCAAAACGTTACATATCATTGAATCTTGTGTATCCAGGTGAATTAGGCTAGGTTCACATATATGCCGGTGGTGTGGCTGCGGAGCCACATAAAAAATCTGTGCAGCTGCACCACCTGTACAGAACAATGTGGACCTGCGGGTGCCATTAGTTCTAATGGCACGCCACCCACACTGGAAAAACGCAACCATACTTGGAACCGAGGTTCCTGTGCTGGCTGAGTTTTCAGAAGTGCAGGGACTTCTTCCCTGCATGTCACGGGAGTCCACTCAAATGAAAGGGCTCTCATGCCTGCGCAAAACACGGCCCACATGGCCGCATATATGTGAACCGGGGGTTATACCTTACATATACAGAGACCATCACAGCAAAGTGGTGATTAGGAACCAAGCCTCAGGAGATCATATTAACTCTCTCAAACAAGAAAACGTTAGGAGCACCAGACAAGCAAGACTGAGGACAGATTTACTATGAATTCAGCTTTAGAAAGTCACCAGCCCACCTTGCTGCTTTAAGGGTTCACTCACATGCACATCAAATTCCACAGCCACTCTGAGAAGCAATTTAGAGGTGTTTGACAGGCAGTGAGGCAGCCAATTGATTTAACCCTTTAAATGCAATTGAGGGGGGGTTCATGAGCAGCCACGTTGAACTGCATTCTGAACTGTTCAGCTGCAGCACCACCCTCTGAAAGATGTTCTTCCACAGGTATGAAGGACAGCATGTGTACAACCAAGAGCTGCTTTATATTTAGTGTTCAGTCATGAGGTAAAAATCACAGCTCAAACGCCTGGTTCTACAGCCCGCCCCCTGGTCACACAACTGAAACTCGAAAAAAGCACTGACCAAATAAAACCTACTTCTTGACCACACCAACATCTGGAGTATTCTGACCCACCCCTTAGACTTACTAATCTGTCTCAGTTGGCTGATCATGATCCCAGGTGCCCCAAGTTCCCCCCCAAAAAATGCTGCATATACTACACCAAGTTAAAGGTGAACCATGTCAGATTTCCTTAATATACGCCCCCCTATTCCTCCACCACCCCAATTTCTTGAAGGTTCTCTGGTGTATATACAATGCACACCCCAGCTCATTTCCAGCATCTGAAAGATGCCAAGAATGAAGTCAGTGGGGATGATGCATCTCCTGCAAGTACAGCGGTTACATCATTGGTTGAGAGTGATAACATGGGATCTGTAAGCAGTGTTAACCACTTCCCGAACGCACTATAGCAGTAATACTGCTACAGGGAGGCACAGGTGTGCAAAATCATATGCAGGGGGGGGCACGTGCGTGCCCTACCCACGCTGCTATTCGCAGCCTCGTCTGTCAATCACCGGGTCTCAGCCGGCGATTACTCGTCAGCACCCGGTGAGAGAGAGCATTACCTACGGAGGGAGAGAACTGTAAGTAAACAGTACAGGTCTCTCCCTTGTCAGCTCCTGCACACTGCTATGCATGGCTTTGCATAGCAGAGTGCTTACAGTGAAGCATGCACACAGTAAAAGAGCACAGCATAGTTAACCCTTTGATCACCCCACACGTTAACCCCTGCCTGCCCAGTGCCATTAATACACTGTCAGTGCTTATTAGCACTGATCACTGTATTAGTGTCACTGGCGATGTCAGCGACACCAAGTTAGTTCCTCCCTGTGTCAGAATGCCCACCGCAACAAGTCACTGATCGCAGCCATTACTAGTAAAAATAAAAATCCAACTACAGTATATATACCACCATTTGTAAACACTAACTTTCACGTAAACCAATTTACATGTATTGGGAATTTTTTTTTTTTTTTTTTTAAGCAGACGTAGAATACATTTTGGCCTAAATTTGATTTTAATTTTTTTACTGGACAGGTTTAAGAGCAAAAATTTCTCTTCTTCAAAATTGTCTTTATAGTGCAAAAACTAAAAAAAAACTACACAGGCTATCAAATACCACTGAAAAAAAAAAAGCAAAGTTACATTTACAGTAACGCCTTTTCCAGGAGTCTCAGGACAGCACCTTGAGAGCCCTTGGCTCCTCCCCACCTGAGGAAACCCCTCCACCCAGCATAAAAGTGCAGCCGTCCCACATCACCCTCAGTTCATGACTTAGCGCCTCAGGTCACCTGGGGAGACAAGACAAAAAAAAAAAAAAAAAAAAAAAAAAAAAAAAAAAGGTACCATATAACCAAATGCTAAAAAAAAAGGTGGGGTAACGGGCACTGTCCTGAGGCTCCTGGAAATGGCATTAATTGCAAGTGTAACTTTGCCTTTTTTCCCCCTCCCAGTCTTTCAGGACAGTACCTTGAGAGGATGTGCGAGCACTCACCCCTAGAGCAAGACCACTACTTATAGATCCTTCTTTGCCTCGATGAAATCGAGGATATCTGGGGTAAGAAGACTGGGTCCATCCTAAACATTACCTTATCCGCAAAAATCTGGAGGAAGAGGGCCCCGACCGATAGGGCTTCCAACTCATTTATTCTGCTCGCTGTAGTAACCGCCACCAGGGTCTTGAGGGTCAGGATTTTGAGGGAACTTTAATCTAGAGGTTCAAACGGGGGGCCTGTCAGCACATTAAGCACCATAGTCAGGTTCCACTTTGGAAAGGGCCTCTCACTGGCTTTTGTCTGGTCAAGGACTTAAAAGAATCTCGCCACCAGCTCATTCCTGGCTAAGGGAGACTGCAGGAATATGCCAAGAGCCGACACTTGGCCTTTCAGCACACTCACCGCTAGCCCCTTGTCAGCCCCCGCCTGCAAGAATTCCAGGACTGAAACTAAGCTATGTGCCCCTGAGGAAGTCTGAGCACACCTTCTGTTAAAGAGCTTACAGACCTTAACCTCCCTAGCGGTATGATTTCAGATTTTTGGTGCTGAAAGCAGTACCATTATTTTGCATGGAAATTTGTAGTTTTATATTGTAGGCCTGTAATTCTTAGGAATAACTCACTGAAATCTGTCCATCCCGGGTAGGATAAAACTTGAAACACAAAATCATAAAATTAGAATTTAATAAATATTCATAAAAAATATTATAATAAATTTAATTCAATAATATAATCAAACCAAACACTGAAATTTGAAATATAACACCAAGTTCGCACATCACTGAGCAAAGTCGCAAAATTGTTTTCAGTGTCTGATGACGAATTTCCCCATGAATCATTATCACTCAATTCTGCAAGTAGTTCTAATTTACTATCGCTGTTCTCTAGCTGGTCTAAAACTGCTTTTGACCTAAAGGGATGATTTTTGGACGCCATGGACATTTCTCAGTTTCCAGGTAGAAAGAACAGTCAAAATGAAGGCCGGGCACAGGACAAAGCACTAGGGACAAAATGTATATGAAATGGTTTGGTACAGTTTTACTATGTTTAACTATGTGATTTTAGTGAATGTCACTTTTTGTCATTTACAAATTCCCTGCCGTTCCGTCCCCCGTACGTCCCGACGCTCGCAGAGGACGGAACCCAGATGACAGATGCCGGCATCTGTCTGATTAAATTGCCGGGGACACTGCAGGAGAGACATCACGGGAGCGCAGGTCAAGGCAAGTGACTGAGGGATCGCAGAGCAGCGCCGCAAGGTAAGCACGACTGTAGCTCGGGGGTTACCGCTTGTGGTACTGAAACTTTACCACGAGCTACACTTGGGAATACCACAAGGGGGGGCTAAAGTAGATGGAACGGGTCTCCTATTTTCTACTATTCAGGAGGGTGGATACTACCCTAGCTGAAAACTCCTTGCTCTTCAGCAGCTGTTACTCAGAAACCAGGCCGCTAGGTTCTATCTGTACCTGGGGACAAAGGACCGGACCCTGAGAAAGCAGGTCCTCTCGGCAAGGCAATATCCAAGAGGGGTAAGATGGCCAAGGTCAAAAACCAAGCCCCAGTTCCAAGGCCAGAGACCAGAGTCCAGAGTCTTGCTTTTGAGTCCCTCCCCATCTGTCTGACATACGCCATGACGGAGGAGTTCTCCTAGAGGACCCACATGTGTTGTCCCCGTAGCTGTTCCCGGAAGGCAAGAGGGGCCTGGAACACAGCCTTGAGTTCCTTCCAGTTCATGGATCTGTCCCTCTTTTCTGGTAGTCAAGAACCCTGTGCCACGGACCCCTCTAGGTGCACTCCCCAACCTCTAGCGCTTGTGTCCATTGAAACTTCCCTGGAGATGTACAAGACCCATAACAGCCCTTGAGCCAAATAGGCTGACCTCCACCACCAGAGGGTCCTCTTTACACAGGGGCATACCTGCACAAAGGTGTCCAAAGACTCATGCCGGCGATCCCAGACATCCAGAATGAAAATCTTGGAGGGGCTGCAAATGCAAAACTGCTCACTAAACCGCTGGGATAGACAATGTTAGCAGGCCCGACACAGCCATGGACTCTTAGGGACACAGCCTGGTTCCCTAGCAGCTGCCTGATTCCCGTCTAGCCAAAGGTTTTCTGAAAGGTGGAATCCAGTTTGTAGCCCAGGTACACCATCCTTTGGGCCGGAACAAAAGTCGACTTTGCTAAGTTTATTAGCCAGCCTAAGTTCTCCAGGTGTCTCATCACCAAGGTTATGTCCCGCATCAGCTGTTCTTCTGAGTCTGCAAACGATAGTCCAGGTAAGCCACCAGCGAGACACCAGGGTATCGGCCATCTTTGTGAAAATCCTGGGTGAGGAGGAAAGCCAAAGGTAAAGGCTTAGAACTGCAGGTGAAAGATTCCCACTGGGGCCCCGTACTGCCAACCTGAGGAATTTCTGAA